TTTCAGTGCTTGTTACAGGTTGTAATTGGATGATTAGAAAGGTTTATTGTTAGTACACTGATCAATACGGACTGTAAAAATATGGAAAAATATGGAGAGTGAAGCTCTCACCGCAGGGAACAAGATGCATATTTTTATTTATTTTTTGCCCTTCTCCTGGCCTCTCAATATTTTTGTGTATCAATAATTTAATTTTCTGCCCAGAAAATATTATATTTTGTGTAGTGTTAGCTTCACCTGTGGCACCTCTATGAAGTGACATACAAGCCCATGGAAAAGTGTGCTACACCGTGGGCGATCAGCCAGTATTTGGCTCCAGAGCACCTCAGGTGACCTGGAGCAGGTTTTTATCGCACTCCCAAGTCCATAAGTCATCAACCAAAGCTTTCAAAACAATGTGTACAGCCTTTTCAGAGCTCTTTCTACTCATACTCAACCTCCTTACTCAAAAGTTTTTGCACATCCCTCGTGCAGTTTTGACAAGGACCCCAGAGCGCTCTGGTTACCTTCCAGAGCGCTCTGGCTACCTTCCAGAGCGCTCTGGAACGCCCTCAGAACGCTCTGGAAGGCAACCAGAGCGCTCTGAAAAGTACCCGACCGTGCTGGAGAGCCCTGAGCGCCTTGCTCACCCACCTTAACCCATATTCACTCCCTTTGTATGTATGTACATTATGACATACCATCGGCAATTCGAATTTTGGACCACATCCATAGTCTGTCCACCCTTGACCTTCGCTGATTCCCCTACGCAGCCATCTGTAACCAAGCACCTCCTCACAATACGCTGAGTATAGAAATCATACGCTCAATAGATATACTCATAATAAACTACATTTTACATCAATCTTGTAATTATCAAAGTCAAGTCTCCTATTCAACATTACCCCTTCGATGCCCACTGTTTTGAATCGTCCGATGATTCTCACGTTTTTTTGGCATGAGTTTCTTAGTATCAAAGGTATTGTAAGTCATACCATTTGTACTTTGTTCTGTATATATTATATTCACTATGAAATGTAACAAATCATCACAAAAGGCCAAAGCGAATAAATCAAAACTCATCCATTGAGTTCAACTTCTTCTCCAATTGAATCAACTCAAGAGTCATCATACATTTACAATAGAATTCTCATTACAAAAAATTTGTAACAACAAAATGATAAATTGTATGTGATGGAATGGCATGGTAGGGTATGGTATACAAGCTCAGATATGTTCTATTATTTTATTCAATTGTATACGATCCATTGAACATGATACTCTCAGTCACTTTCTAGCTATCTATGTTGATTGGAAAAGTTGCATCCTCCCACGGCTTTGAAATGTCTATTTTTGGTCACAACTAATTGATTTGATTAACTTCATTCTTCAGCCACTTTTCCGAACATGTATCTACAATTATAACACCCAAGCAGCGCTTAGCGCTTACAATTCATATCTTTTTTAGTTCTTGATACTTGTGAAATTCTAACCCCTTGAGAATACGATATTAGATTTTGGCAATATCACATCTCAAATCAAACAACACAAAACAAAACAAGCAGATGGTACCAGGACAATTCTGTAAAACCAAACCTTTTCTGAAAATATCATACATGCAAATATTGAAAAGATAGGTGACGAGTCAATTCCGATGTGAATGCAGGTATAAGCGATAGTACATATGAAAAACTTACGTTCATGAGCCAGTTGGAAGATCCTCCTCTTCTTCACTTGTGTCGTCTTCGTCATCTTCCTCTGAGTCTGTGTCTCGGATGACCCGTTTCTTGCGTGATTGTCCATCTTGTGGCTTCGATCTCTTACCTGCTTGCGATTTGGTTTGATTGGCTTGTGAATTATTGTCTCTGTTAGTTTGTGAAAGATCTCGATTGTCTTGTGATTGATCTCGAGTTTCTGGTTCGGTCTCTTCTTGTTCGGCTTCGGTAATTTTAATTTTTTCCAGTATAAAATTATTGCTTTCGATGTCTTTTGTCCAAGCTCTGATGATCGCATCCGTAGCTTTCCGATGACCAGTCTTCAAAGCCTCAGATGTAAGCACACTTCCAGGTTTCTGAACAATTCGCAAATTCCATCGTTTCATGAGTGTGGTGGCTGGGTCAAAATCTTTAGGGAATGTGTCTTCTTCGGGCACTTGTGCAGCTATAAACAGTAAGAAGGTACAAATTAGCAGCTGAGCAGTATCGGAATAGAAAGAGAATAGTGGGGAAGGAGATCGTGTCCTACATATCAAACCATTGAGGAGCGAGCAGAGTCTACTTTTTCGCTCATCACTCGGCTGGACCGCCTTCTTTTCGACTGTTTGGGCTGCATCCTTGCCATGTACATAGTCCTTGAATGTTGAAGGTACATGTACTTTGGTCAGCGCCCACTTCGCAAAATCAGTATCGTTAGAGAAGGTCCGTGACCATCCCTCCACACCACCACAGCTCGCCGTTGTGAGGTAATAGGAAACATGGTTCTGTTGGCAAGTTACTGCGAACTAAAATTGAAAACAAACATACGAGTGAAAAACTAAATATATTTGAGATGAAAGCGAGCAAAGAAAATCTTACATCTTGATGAGCCTTCTGAACAGCAAGCAAGGACCTCTTCTGAAGAGTAGCTACGGATGCGGTTGGTTCGGGCTTTCCGTGACATAGATGAAGCTTGTCAATGTTGACCAGCTTATCGAATAGGGGCTGGTATCTTTGCTTGTCTTCATCAGATAGTTGATAAACTTGAGGTGCTTTAGTTGATTCATCACAATATTGTACATTGACACCGTCGATTTCTTCGTCATTCGCATCAGAATGAGTTGCCTCTTCCATTGCCTTTGAGTAATCGGGTAGGCCAGCCAAGGCAAAGAAGAATGGATCGGTAAAAACCTTGCGCTCGTCGTCTGACATATTGTGCCATTTGTTGGCCATGTCTTGGTTTCGATCAACCCAACCGTCCTTGTTGTCACGGTCCGGTACTATAAAGAACCATACAGAACAGAGAAACAGCAGCACACCACAAACAAGAGGTATGTATCAGAAGGCAGGTTGATCTACATATTTGTTGATGAAGAAATGAGCTTACATTTATCACCCAGGCATTTCACGCAGAAGGCAAGGAATCGGATCCAAGGATTTCCCTTTGCCTTCTTCGATCCAAGGCCACTGTGAGATCCAATGCGGGTTTAGCATAGTTGTGTGTTTTAACCAGATACGATAAGGTAGAAAGTTGCTTACACCAGGTTCCATATGACCACTTCAGGTACTCCGGCCATCAGAGCCACCATGAGGATGGTCTTTTCGAAATCCATTCGAATGATTTTGACAAGGTCCTTAATATCCTTTGGAGCCTTGCTTCTTCGAGAGTCTTGTCCAACAATGGCTTCGCAAAGCTTGACTATTGACCAAGATGGACGTTTCTCTTCAAAATTGTCGAGATCAAATTCAGGAAAATGAGATTTAAAGACTTTTTCTTGTTGCTTGTCGGTGTTGGTGTTGGTTTCTTCCTCATTTTCATCACCCTCATCATCAAGTCCACCTAAATTGGTCACCCCTTGAGATTGATCGCTGGTAGCGTTGGATTTGGTTTTGCGTTTGTTGGATTGAGTCTTTTTTTGGGAAGAGGCTGTCTTCCCGGATCGTGTGTTTGGCATTTTGAGAATGTTGATTATAATGTGTGGTGAACGTCGTTGATTATGGGGAGTAGGTCGCCTATGTATGAGGAATGGGTTTGAAATTCAAAGGATCACGAGTTCACAACTCCGGATCGTGGTAAAGTCAAAGCATTTCACAAGTTGAACCCTTTCACATGGTGTGCAACCTCCAAAACGTATAATCTGTTTGTGTAATTGCCGGTTATCACAAGACACATAACCCCCCCCAATGCCGATTACCAGCCTGATGTAGTTAAACAATAGAACAAGAATGCCATGAGTGAATGTGTTTCTTTGAACCATTAGTGAGAGTCTAAGATTTGATCAAGATTAGGTTACATCCAAACATAAGTTATTCTTTAATTTTTCATGCAATGGCTTTCATGCTTTTATGTTTGCCGTTCCTTATCCTCTTTGGCCAGATCTCTTTATTACCTTTTTTATCAACTTTATTTTTTGAACCTCTTTGAATTGTCATTAGTATGATTTTTATTACTGGTTGGATTATTGTTTATTTATCTTTTTTTGAGAAATCAAAAAGACTCTCTGTTACAATGTTTAACAGTGAGTTATCTCACAAGCTCGCTGTTAAACAGTTTCCATTTTGGATGTTGATTAATGGCTTGAAAGGTTTGCTGTTGTCAATCATGAATGAGTAACATTAGAAATCAATGATTAACTGTCTTTATATCTATGAGACAGTAACAATGTTGAAGACTTTTGTAGTCAAAGACTTTTGTAACGATGAACCTTTCCATCAAGCCCAAATGTGCGTTCTCAACATTTAGTTTTCAGCAACTGATGATAACGTTGTTGGTGTTCAACTTTCAACCTTTATGAGGATATCACCGATGTTTGGAGTGATCAGCTTCAAAGAGTTCAAGGAACTATAAGTAACAACCAAGCATTTGTGTTGTTCAAATGTTAAGAAGTGTTAAGCAACATTGAAGACTGGACCTCTGAACAAATCAAGTGAAATAATGAATATACCCAGGATAAATTATGTACTCGGCAGTCTTAGCGATGTTGATCACTTGCGTTTGAAATCACAAGTATCACCATCAACAGTGTTGAAGTTGATCTCACAATATCAAAGAAAACATAGGGTTGCTGTTTAATTTTGAATTCCAAAGTCCTCATAAGCATTCCGTGGGAGTTGTTTAAACTTCAACAAAACATTCAGATGTTGTAATTGAGAGATGTTGAAGCAATATCAATTGTGATCTTCTTGCATACACTTTCTTGAGTTTGCACAAGGTCTCATGAATGATTGCCGTTTACAGTTGTATATTTGTATGGTATATATGTGCAGGAAAGAGAGCTTGACAAACCCTTTTCCTGTCTTTGCAAAATCTGTGAAGCAAACGAAGTGGCAAGAAGTTGAGCAAACAGGTTAATCATTCACAGTGGACATCACTGTTGATTAACGCCAATCAAAGCCAAAAGCAAGTCACCGGCTGCCTACTGTCCGATACACACGGCAACGTGAATGGTTCCAATCAGAATGTTTAATCATGACGCTGATCCACTTGGCGATAGCAATAGTTACAATAGTTCAAGACTATTACTTTCAATCTTCTGATTGATTGAACGTAATAACTTGACAATAATTGGACTCTTTCTGATCATCAGTACACAATTCGTTTTTCATGACAACTTCCTAATTTTATGTCCTTAATTTTTTGTTAAACCACCTACATCAACAAACTATCGTCATCCTTAAACTACCATCATCCTTAACATAATCATAACACACGATGGTCATGCCAGGCAAGGAGATTTTGCCTAATAAGGCCAAGCGAGCCAAACCAGCTACTCGTGCACCTAAAACCGCTATTGGTGCTCGATTGGCCGCAATGGAAGCCCAAGAAGCCCAGGATTCACGGCCCCGGCTGAACGCTTTGAACGCAGCTGCTCCGGCAGCTCAAGAACCGCTACAAGGACCTCTGACTGAAGACCAATTCAATCAACAACCTTTGTACGACGACCTTGTAAGACCTGGAGACGCCAACTCATCTGGAAACGAGGAAGTACAACCTGATGCTATGGATCGATCGGATTACTATCGTAGTATAACATATCAAGAGAGATGCCTTCGTGAGGAGGCTAACTGGAACAAGGTCGTGCCAGCTATGTTCTTGGCGTTCATGCCGTGTAGCAAAGCCACGTTTCAATGGGCTGACCCGTTGCTTTGGAACCACGATTACAACACTCCGTGTATCTGTTCCACCTGGCAACTGAAGGACGTCGAGATTGATGTCATTGACTTCCTAGGTGAGCGCCTTTGTCTTAAATAACAATGTTTGATAATCGATTAGATTAAAGTTCAAGATAGACTGTAATCCTACATGTTTACTTACTTTTATTGATTGAATTTGATGGTTTCTGAACTGGGAAGGCCGTTTGAAGATGACAATCCAGGTTTGCAAATGCACTCCTGATGTAGTGCGGTTAGTTCGTCAGGGGTTCATTGGCGGTACTCCAAAGGAGCCGCGCACGGCTTTCTCAATTCGAATGTTACGATATCATCATATTCTATGGAAGCACTGTAGTGTGCGATTGGCTCCATTTGTCGAAGCTCAAGACGAGTATCTTGATGCTCGTAATTCTCTACTGTTGATCAAAGGCTCCGATAAGGTCAGTCATCCTCTGAAACTTCATGTCACAAATCACCAAACTGAAATCTTTGCAGTCTCGTGATTGGCGAAAGGGATTTTCTGCCGCTGTTGATGTATTTAGAGATATGCTTCGGTTACAGGATGATCTAGCGTCCAAAGCCCTCAAATTAACCCCCGGGGACCATCTAGCTTCGACTTGTCCGCCATGTTTTGGACCAAAAGTTGCAGGAAAGAGAGCGTCCGAGCCAGATGTGATTGTGTGTTTCGACGGAAACTTTCAACACCGCCGCCACAAGGCAGCTAGTGCTGGGTGGAGAGGGGAAGCTGGCATCACCCCACCTCTGTTTATGGCACCCACTGAAGTCAAGTATTGGGAGACCAAGATGGGTGTCCAGCGAGCGGGCGCAAAGGATGTGATTGTAAGTCTCCCATTTCTTGAGTTTGTACGCAATGGTATTGCATTTTGAAACTAATTTTGTGTATCACCTTTTCACACAGCATCCTTGCAGTGAACAACATACCGCTGCGGATGATGTTCGCGGGCGGCAGACTTTCCCAGCCTATGATGAGACTGGCTTAATGGGCATGGCATGTAGACACGATCAAGCATTGAAGTTTATCAACATAATCCAAAGTGGCGAGAGGTCAGTTCAAAAACACACTTGTATCGCCATTCAGTGTGCTCTGTTTATTTTCTTGGCGTGAAACTGTATACGTCTGACATATGTATTGCTCAAAAGAGGGCACTTTCCTGTGGCCATGCTCGACTGGCTATTCAAACAAAGTGAGCACGACATGCGATATGCTGTGCTTTATGATATCGGCTGCAATATGGAAAGAGGAATATTAAAAGTACTCCAGCATTTGTAATGGATATCTTCTTCATCTTTGCTCATTTGGTATTCTTTGTTCCATGTAGCGCGAACTGTTTGCAGAACAGCGGGATAAAGACTTACTGATGTTCGGAACAAGTGTGTTCCATGCATTTGTTCATCAGTGGTCTTGCCAATTGCAATATAATCCTCGATTGAATATGGATTGGGGCTTATCGGATGGGGAGGGTATGGAACGTATCTGGTCTAGACTTTCGTCCCTAGTTAGTGCCTTGAGGTATTCCACCAAGTCCCATCGACTGTGCGCATTAAATTTGCGCGCCCAGCATCATAATGAAGCTGGTCGTACCAACTCAGGTAAGTTCTAAAAGTGCAGTGATAGAACAAAACGGAACTAGTTTTCATCAACTGATCCCTATTACGTAGTGAAATGGTTGTTATCACGGGAAAAGACTGCCAGGAAGCTGTACATGGAATCTCGGTCTAAGCTGGAAGTCTTGTATCGAAACCCTCAATACACTGAACAGTACCTTGTCGAACAATGGAATCGTCAAAGGGAATGCCAGTTACAGGAACTTACAGTAGATAACTCGGCAGCTTTGACCACAAAGCTAGATAAGCTAGTTGGATATGAAGAACGACTCCGAGAAGCCGAGTTGAGTTGCCTTGAAATCTTGTACATAAGTTGTTACTGACAATGGATTGATTTTAGGGAGGATCTTGCTGTTTTACAGGGGAAAAGGGCTCGTGACCGAACGACCGCTGACCGAGCTGAGCTGGCTCACCTTCCCAATAGGATTACATCGCTAAGGGAGAGGATTGACGTTATTGTCGAGGAGCTGGGAGGCGACCAGTATCGCGACACCCCTGGTGCAAGAAGTAAGTTCTTGATATTGTTTGCTCATTGCCACAGTGGAGGTTCACCTTGATCTACCATTTTGAATTTAGCTCCTAAAGGACGTGGTCTCATCCGTATTCGAGTGGCAAAGGCCAAATTGCATGGGGCAAAAATAGATGTGTTCAGCCTACAAAAACTTAGTGATAGACGTGCTGGTGAATTTCAACTCCCTGAGTAAATGATCTCTGAACCTATCATGACATTCAATTGATACTGTATTTCATGTGTTTAGGTACCCGAGTTCAACAAAAAATGAAGAAGATTGTAAGGGAAAAGAAAGTGTCGTTCAAGTCAAAGTACAACACATTTAATCGTCTTGTAACTAATTTCAACACCGAGTTTCCTCAACCTTCGCCCATTGCTTGTCCACCATTCGATATTCTAGAAGGCCTGACGGTGTATGACTCGTTTTGGGATCTTGGTCAGCTGACTCATCCAGGAGAAGCCTGGGCAGTTGACCAAAATACACAAGATGGCATACAAGCTTACCTTTCTATGACACATGCTCAGGATGAGCTTTTGCGCTTGAGCCGAGAATGTAGGCAGATAGTTAAGTGGGCCCTTGATGTTGATGAAAAGATTTCGGGATTGTGCACGGCGATTGCACTCGCAGGTAAGTAGTTACATATTCTGTTCATGTGAGTGAGAGCTTCTGACATTGAATGTTGAAATCGTGTAGACAATAACCCAGATCTAATTGAAAATCGCTGGATGATGCAAGTGGTTGGATCAGTAAGACCACGATTATCAGATTGTTTGTCAGAGAGTAAAGAAGTCTTACAGTCTTTGCTAGCTCACCTGTGCCAAAGGCACTCGCGATTGTGGATGAATTGGAATATAGGCATGGCAACCATTCTGAATCGCACCGGTGAATACTGTCAGCTATCAGCGGAAGAAGAGAGGGCACTTCACATTCAATGGTCTGACCTGGTAATAAGAGCACGACAGGTTTGGCAAACCGTTGCTCAAGCTCCAATTCTTGAAGCAGAGCCTTTGGACGATGCGGAGATGGAGGAGGAGCAAATTGTTGGTGAAGACAATAATTATATTGATTTCAACATTGAGGATGATTTGTATGATTTGGAAGATTTGGAATGAGAAGATTGTAAAGGGTCAGCTATTTGTAGAATATGTGCATCTTTGTGAGACATGAGAATTATACATGAGTTGTTTCTTACATATCAATTTTGCTTTTATGAGCTGTGTCCACCGATGTGCTTGATTTTGGTGAGTCGAGAGTGTTTCATGCTTTGATTTTGGGATTTGTGGTGCTTGAGAGTTGTGAGAAAAGGGTATTGAGGTGGGTAGAAGGCAGTGTCCAGAGCGGCCGGGTACGCTTCAGAGCAGTCGGGTACTTTTCAGAGCGCTCTGGTTGCCTTCCAGAGCGTTCTGAGGGCGTTCCAGAGCGCTCTGGAAGGTAGCCAGAGCGCTCTGGAAGGTAACCAGAGCGCTCTGGGGTCCTTGTCAAAACTGCACGAGGGATGTGCAAAAACTTTTGAGTAAGGAGGTTGAGTATGAGTAGAAAGAGCTCTGAAAAGGCTGTACACATTGTTTTGAAAGCTTTGGTTGATGACTTATGGACTTGGGAGTGCGATAAAAACCTGCTCCAGGTCACCTGAGGTGCTCTGGAGCCAAATACTGGCTGATCGCCCACGGTGTAGCACACTTTTCCATGGGCTTGTATGTCACTTCATAGAGGTGCCACAGGTGCTTGAGACTGATGAATGGGGTGGGGTGTGACCTCATGGGAGGTGTCTTTTTGCCAAAACTACTGTGAATGACCATCAAGTACTTTTTAGTGATGTATTAAGCATATACATTTTTCTGCACTCTTACCTTAACCTAACCCAAACCCTAACCAAAATTACAACTGCTTAGGGTTAGGGTCAGGGTTAATTGCTATAAAGGACTGTGATAAGAGTGCCTCAGATCAAAAAATGATATTGAGATGCAGCTTCTGAAACTCTCCTTGACCTAGTTGTTTTCATTTAACATTGTCCTGTCCAAGCAATGGTAGCATTTCACTTAGATTCTCATATGGATAAAGCTTCAATCCAGTCACTTTCAGCATGGTATATGTGCAAAATCATCCTTCTAAGCAAGCACAATCAAGGTTGTGGTCAGAACAATTACATAGCCCATTGAGATGAAGAAATATATGCATGGGATCTCCTTGTCCAGGCTGAGCATTTTTATGAATCATCTTCATGGCTTCCGTGGAAAATTCCCACTGGGGTTATGCTCATAGTGCTGTAGAACAAACTTGGAATGCCTTGCCTGTATTAATCTATTGACCGGGTTTTGCAAAAGGAATGGGCTGAGCAAAGGTTCTTGGGACACATATGCATCAATGCTCATATTCATCCACTTCTATGTAATATGTGAAAATATCAAGACTTGTGCATATTTCACAAGGCCTCAAATACTCAGCTTAGTGTTGCCGCAACATTATCACATAACTTCTTAGACTAAGCATGTTCATGATTTTCCGCCATATTAACACCTCATTGAGATCAATAATTCACTTTACATTGCATATTGACATCCGGTGTATTTATTTGTCCCATCCTCCCAAACCCTAACCCTGATCTGGATTGAAACTGCTCAGTTGATCTATCTCCTCTTTGCTCATGAAAAATTCAGAATCATTTTGCATTCACTTTCCAACCTGGGGATTTTGATTAATTGTTTTCCCGTGGGGGATTCATTTTCCACTTGTGGAAGTCGATTAATGTTCACAGTGATTGTGGATCTGAATCTGTGATTTTAAGATATCACTTGGTTTCTTTTGCTGATGACTTCCATTTTGTTTATTGTTTGTTAGCTTGATGCATATGGATTACATTTAAGAACACCATCCAGAATTAAGTGTGTCATCCCTAAGCTGACATGCTTAAGTTGTTTGGTGGGGCGCTGTTGGCGGCCGTCTGCTTTGCGTTGGAGAGAAAAACTCTCTTCATTTTGCAAACCTAGCAGTGTCCAACATTGCTGGGTGGGCAGGGTGGTATTTGTAGAAATGAAATGGAATATAATTTGAATTGAGATGCTGAGTGTTTGTGGTGTGCTCAGTTATGACTGGTCATGTGCAAGGGTGGTAGCTTCTGAGTGGGAAGTGAATTTTTTCCCATGTGGCTACCTCTGGGAGCCTGTTTCTTGGATGTTTCTTGCTACCTGCAACGGGCTTCTTTGCACCTGAGCACTAACCACTCAGTCATGGAATTCCGCACCAAGACGTACCTTAGATGCTGCTTACAATCTGCTTGGATATTCAGACTTAAAAATTTTGTTTTAATGAATTACAAGTTGGAAAACACCTTGGATGTGATACATGAAGCCAGAAGAAATTTACAGAATCTTTGGGGGATTTGTTGATGTGAAGAATATTGTGGTAAAACCAAAGGATTTATGGGAGTGTAGGGGTATGTTATCAGCGACCATTTGGAAGAGATATCATTAAGATTGAATTGATAGTCTTCCCATGAAAATTTGCTTTGTGAAATTTGTCTTTCTTTGCACAAATCATGACAAGTTCAGTTCACATAGTGGATGACCTTAGTCCTTCCCAGTCTGAAAACCTACCGGGTCCTTTCATGAAACACAATTTTTCTATACAATAAGGGTAATTTATTGCCAGATGACTTTATTTTGACTATCAAGTGCTCAGAAGAGTCTTAGAACATTGATTTTTTTTGCAAAATCAAACTGGGCCTCAATTTATGTAAGATTGAGGATGATTGTAAGATAAATTATTTGGGTGGATGGTGTCCAAGAAGTGTGGGTATTTGGTCATGATAGGAGTGTTGCAGTGCAGACACTATGTAATCAGTGTGGAACCTGCTGCTCAATGGCTATATACTGTCCTGAAGACTGACAGAAAAATTGATTACAGTGGTATTCGTCACAGCATTGGGATAATGAGAGATGATAACTACAAGCTTGCAATATTGACAAAATTATTGTACAGCATGAGAATTCTGGATATCTTTCAAGTTGAACAAGCATCATATATTGGGGGACAAACCAAAATGAGTACCTGTCAATGAGACAAAATGATACTTCATGTACTCTAATATTGAACCCATTAGAGAATCCACACTTGTTCACCATTGTTGACTTGCTCACATGTGGTAACAACCGCTACATTGAGTAAAAAATTACTTAACTCAAGCAAATTTCAAACTTGTGCCAAATTACTTGCACAGTAGTCAACTTAACTTGGAAGATAATGTGAGTTTCCACACTGGTACAAAGTTTACAAGCTCAAACTATCAAGCACCCTCCAATTTGTACAATCCACCAGTGCACCCAATCTACTTGACTTCCTTCAATAAACTGTGATGGCAAAGAGCACATCCTTCTCAAGCTAACTTGAGAGAGCACAAGATTTCATTCAAATCAACTCGTGATCTCATCACAGCTGGATGGTTGGCACAGGGAGGTTTGTAAAGAAGAAAAAAGAAGTGCATTCGATCAAGATTGTTTGACATAGTTCCACAGTTTGAATGAGATAGAGAAATTGATTTGAACTCCGGTTAAAATCAATCCGAGCAATAAGAGATCTTTGAAATCTTTCTAAAATTGATCCAAACAATGAAGAGTTGATCTAGATTGATCCAAACCCTCTCTATAACCAATCAACAAGAATTTATCTTGATCTATCTAAAATACCAATAACAAACTGACATCAACCAATCTAAAATGTGTTTAAAAATTGACCTTAATTGACCTACTGAGATGCAAAACAAAAAGATTCAATATAAATTGATTTTAAAGAAAAAGGTTTTAGGTAGATTTGAATTTAAGATTGATTCAAAGTTTGATTTGAATTGAAATGATTATGAAGAAGATTGTGAGGTTGGTAAGACTCGGAATCAGAATCAGGATTATAGAAGAAGGAGTAGGACTATGACTTGGAGGCAAGTAGAACAATATCAATATGGCATAAAGGATACTCCTGAATTGTGGGCCGCCATTGATTATTGATGCAGATGTTGCGAGTCAAGAGAATTCAAGTTGGTGTGCTTGAAAAGATAATGACAGGCTAGCAAGTCGGATAACGCATGCGTTAGTCAATTGGTAAATTTATCAATTGACTAACACAAACTGATCAAAAATTAACTACTGCAGGGCTAATTTCTCACCAGTGTGGGAAAGGCCCTGCAGTTGCGTTAAATTTTACCTTACTGCACCTGAGTTGACGCACGAGTGCGGATGCTCTTAGGGGGTTAGAGGTTAGGTTTAGGGCAAGGATATTTTCACATGCTCCAAGGGTATGTGAAATTACCTCTGCTCTAAATCACCACCGTTCCTCTCAATTTTGGCTTTCACCACCTATAGACCTCACAAGCAGTATGGCCTTTATACCATGCCCTACCCCATTCCTTTGCTGCTTTCTGGCAGAATAAACAATTTACCAGCCCTCCCTTAGATCCAACTGATTTATTTTTGGTTGCCGTAAACATCACTGCATCTGCCAGAGCCGTTCTTGATGTCAAGAATTTTGCTGACTACAAAGGGGCTCCTTTGTAGTACATCACAATATCAACTTTGAGAGCGGCTCTGGCGGACACACTGCATGTAATGTACCTGGGCTGTCATTTCTACTTTGTTAGTCAAAATTGCTACCGTGATGTCCAACAGGTTATGAGATACATTCACAGTGCCCATGGAGAGAGCCCCTGATGTCTGGCCCTGGGGCTCCAGCAAGTACAAAGGCTTGCCTTTGTACTTTTGAAGGCGCCCTCCACAGGCACTGTGATTCTGCTGCATTCACCTACAAACAACTTCTAACAAAGCTTTCCTGCTGGAGAGGTCTTTGAAAAAGAATCCTATGTGGATTGAGTCCAGTAGAGCCCATATGATGACTGCGGCGCCCGCCGCCCAATTTGGCTAGTTAAATTCTATTATTCAACTGCTTACTTGATTCAATATAGAAATCAGCCTCTTTTACTGTTTTCAATTTTTTAACAAATGCTCTGTTTTCCATCTCTGTTTTGGCATCTTTGTCTTTGCCTCCATTTACATGCAGCACAACCTAAATCTCAAGTCTTGCACTGCTGTACATCTCCTGATTTTTCTGATCTTCCCCAATCATTGAG